TTGAGAAGGTCAGAAGTTTAACACAGTGATTCAGCGAGGGGACAGGGTTCTTAGTTTGTAACATTCTCAGCCTGTACAAGAGAAGGGCACTCAGATGGTGTGAGTGCACACCCACCCAGGGGAGCAGCCTACCTACAATAAAAGGCAAATGAGGAGGGACTGATTGCTCCTCCTTTGGAAGAGCTCCAGTTCTCGCCTTCAGCGTGGATGTCACAGACTGCTCAGCTTTGTCCCCCGGGAGTCTTCAGCCTTCCCTCTGGATCCTTCAGTGCTCCGTTGTACACCCATCTGCCTTCTGACAAGAACTTTCACAGGACACTGCGGGGAGCCCGAGCCCTCGGGCTGGACCCTTCAGCCTCCAGTGTGTAGACGCCCTCTGCACCCCACCCCCCATCTGACTTTGTGGCTGAGCATTGTAAACCAATTTCATACTTTCTTATATATTTTTCTGTCTTGTGTTTATCTATTTCTCTAGTAAACGCTGGCTAATACAGGCTCTATTAGCACAATGGCTACGGCCCCTGAATTCTCAAAGGCCTAAGAAAGTATCTGAGGCTTCAGGATTTTTAAATGCTCAACTCTGTATTTCATTCAGCATCCCTTTCATACTCCTTAGAGGCACTTCTGTACCTGAGGCTTCAGCACACCATGCATTGTTCCAAATTATGTAGTCACCCGCAAAAACTCCGAAAAAGTATGAGTGAGCTATTCAGCAAGAGTCAGAGCGATTGATTACTCAATAAAGTTCTAAGTCGAGGAAAAGTGATACAAATGTCTGAGTTCCCTGACATAGGCCAGCCTGGACTTTAGGAGCTTGCATTTTTGTACGATGGAAAGAAAACTGATCTGTAAGTCAGTTTTGTCATGAACCCACTACATGACTTCGGGCAGTCACAACCTTTTTTCCTCCACTTCCTCCTTTGTAAAATTAGGGGGGATTGACTAAATGAGCACTCAAGTTTGGTCAGTTCAGTGATCACATCAATTCTCAAGTAGATTCTTAAATAAAGGAAGTAAAGAAAGGCACAACATTAGCCTTTTTGTTCCCTAGTGCTCCACTGGAGCTCAGATACATGTAATAAAAAGCATCTCAGTCCTAAAAACCATTCTCAAATCTTAAGTTACGTAGCCTGTGATTAGTAGAATCTACTTTGCCATAATTGAACAGGGTAGTACTAGGAAAAATTATACCAAATTTCACTAAATGTACATTCATTTGAAGCTTCCCTAGGTTAACCAGACCATTAGGGCTGACATACTGCACCCATTACATAATGTGAGTACCTTCAATATCCTTCCATTTTAGGTGAACCGGCTTCCTAATCATCAGCCAAGAGCCCACTATACTTTATTTTCTTTATGGTAAGTGGCAAATATGTCTAAATTAGTTAAATTATTTTAATATGTTGTTGCTTTTAAGGATCAAAAATTTGTGATCATTCCTTCTCAGGAAGCATCCACCCACAACATGTGGACTAAATCTTCATTTTCATTTCTGTGTTTCGTTTAGGGTTCTTCCAAATGAGTTCATTTTTGTTGTAAATTTTGGATTTTTACTAAACGATGTTTGTGCTTATCTTTGGACCAAACATGTTATTCATCTTATGCCCAAAGTAGATGTTATGGTTGATATACTGTGTCAATTTGAGAAGTTAGAAGTTTAAATGACTCAGCAGGGAGCCAAGATCTTTATTTTGTAAACAGCCTCAGCCTGTGCAGAAGGAAGACAGAGGCCATGTGAGTGCTACACTCGCCCTGGGGAGACGGGCAGCCTGCTTACAACGTGAGGGAGGAAACGAGGCTCCCCCAACCCCACCCCAGCCCCGCTTTTGCTCTTGTTGTTCTTGCTTGCTTCTGCCACCCTGAAGTGTCACTCCTGTGCCCTACCACCCTTGGAGCCAAGGACTGAAACCTCCACAACCTGTGAGCTAAATAAACCTCTTCGTCCTTAATTTTGGCATCAAGTATTTTGTCTCAGCAATGAGAGAAAAGTAACCAAGATCCTGGCAACACAACTGTGGCCAGCTGCAAACCCCTCAGTGGTGAGCTCTTGGCAAGCTAAGTGATGTCCTTGTCTAACTATCTCTTGTGCATTGATCACCTGACCTCCCTTCCTCTCTTCTTCTGTGTCAAAGCTAGCACAAATCATGCTGCCGATCCACATGCTTGGAATTTGAGCAGTTTCAAAATGTGCAAACACATTGTTAGTGATGTGTTTAAACAGCATCCTTCCCGTTGGTGTTCATAATCCTTTAAACTTAGGATATGATTACTCCTTCTGGCATCACTTGAAAATATATGCAGCACAGCAGGAATTACATTTGTCAGGAAACATGACAGTTATGAATAAACAAAAATTATTTCCCATACTCACACAGCATTTTAACTTACTTTTAAGATTTATGTATCCTTTACCTCTTTTGAAAAGAATATGAAGTAATTTGCAAACTAATATATATGGTATAACTCTAATAAAATAGGAAGGAAGCCAGGATGAAAGGAAGGAAAACTTTTCCTACACAGGACAAGTCTTACAGGAAAAGATGACAAATTTGATTATACAGAAGTCTAAAAGTTCTAGGCTCAAAGGCCAAGCAATAGAACAACAGTCACCAATTATAACTGTAAAAAATTATACCCAGTTCATAGAAGACCACTCTCAAGTGTATGTTGTCCAAAGGCGATGATGACTAGGCCAGAATAAGAAGTAGAAATATAAAAATCTTGGGAAAAAGTCTCAGAGTCCACAGAAGGGACTTCAAATTGAAACAAATAAGAGAATTATAACACAATGCTATACGAACGTTTTGGTTACTTAAACCCTTTTTTCTAGTACAACTGATATTTCAGTGAACATTCTAGTACACATAGTTTTCAGAACATTCTAGTACACATAGTTTTCAGGAAATACACAAACGTTTCTGTAAGATAGATTTCTAGAAGCAAATTGAGGTAAAATTTATATGAATTTTACAAATCAACAAACACTGTCAATTAGCTCTCCTAAAATATTGCACCATATTACAGTTACCTCTGCAGAATACGAGTATGTCCACTGTCATGGTTTGAATATGATTTGTCCCTTCTGACAACTCACACTGAAACTGAATCCCTACTGTGAGAAATAACCCAACTGAAACCTTTAGAGGTTGGACCTTGAGATGTAACCAGTGGTAGACAAGGTCATTGGGTGGAGCCCTCATGATTGAATCTTAGTGGCTTTCTAAGGAGGAAAGAGATCAGACACACACACACACTGTAAGCACACTCCCTGTCTCTTGCACACCACCTCATGACTCGACCGCCAAAGTCAGACCACATGCAGCCCCTTAACCTTAGACCAGAACTGTGAGCCAAAATAAACTTTTCTTTGTATGTGGTGTTGTCTTGTGTTATTAGCAACGAAAAACAGACAAAGATATTCATTTCCCCACTAACCATGTAATTGTCATACAACCCAGCAATTGTACTCTTTGGGCATTTATCCCAGAAAAAAAATTAAAATGTACATTCACACAAAAACTTTCTAGGAATAGTCAGTAGTTTTTTCATAACAGACAAAAATTGAAACCAATTCAGTTATTCTTCAGTCATTAAGTGGTAAACAAACTATGGTAACCATATCACAGAATATCACTGGAAATTAACAAAAGGTTGGTACACGTAACTTGTATGAATCCCTTTAGAGTCATGCTCAATGAAAAAGCCAATTCCATTGGTGGTGGACACCTACATTCCCAGAATTTTGCATGTTGAGGCCAGAGAATACAGAATTTGAAGTTAGGTTACAAAGTGAAATCCTGTCTCTAAAGAAAATGAAAAGAAAAAAGACCAAAGAAAATGTTACAAACTATAGGATTCCATTTGTGTTGTATTTCTGTAATGACCAGCGTACACCAACGGAGGACAGATGAATCAGGGAAGGAGGTGTGGCTATACCAGGGTTCCTCGCCGTGAAAGAATTGCTGTTTGTCTGTCCTGTGACAGGTGACGTATGAACGTATGCATGTGAGAAATGTTGCATAAATCACACACACAGATACACACACCCAAATGAGTACAAGTAAAACTGAAGGAGAAGATAAATGGATTGTTACCAATGTCAGTATTTTAGCTCTGATATTGTACTATAATTTTACAAGATAGCACCATTGGGGGAACCTGGAGAAAAGGTACATGGGATCTTTCTGAATCATTTCTTACAACCCTATGTGTTACATACCACCATCTCACAGTAAAAAGTTTATGATTTTTAAAGAAATATAAGGTGAGGAGCCGGGGATTTAGCTCAGCGACTCAGCACCCACCTGGCAAACATGAGGTCCTGAATTTGATTCCTGGTACAAAAATAAAACCCTCACAAGGCAGATCCATAAGCCGTAACATGGACCCTGCAGAACACTTGGATTTGAGCTTGTATTCTCCTATACTGTTGCAATGGTCTATAACCAACTTGTCTACTTGGGTAGCATTTTATTTTATTTCATTTTGAGGAGAGATTCAATGTGGGGGATGAGGTGTCACTTTGTAGGCCCAACCCCCTCTAACCTGCAATTTATAATAGCCGCCCTGGTATGCGAGAAGGAGGTAGAACGGGAATGCCTGTTCTCAGTGAGCCCTCACCCTCTGGAATCTATACTGTGAGCTGGCTTTGTTTTGTAGAAGTCTTGAGGAAGTGGCTGGCCACCCTTTGTGACACTAACAACAGACAAATTAACAACATTCTTGAGCTAATGAATTTCTTCCTGGGCTAGAGAAGTTGTGAGAACTGGTTGTGATTATTTACTTCACTTAGATAGTTTTAGAATAAACATTGTAGTCTGTCACGTTGTAGCTTGCCACAAAGAATGCCTTTTCACTACTTAATTATCTGGGCTCTGTGAATTGATCGGGTTTACTATATATGAATCCTAAAATAAAGATTGTGCGTACAGTGCAGTGCAGTGCAGTGTAACGCGGTGCAGACAGCAAAGGTGTCTCTCCTGTCTTTCTTTTCCAAGCGCTGTACCCCCCGTGTCCCGACAAGGCGTGCGTGTTTACCTTGCCCGGAGTTCAGAGTGCTCTAGACACTCACGACAAGTGGCGCCCGAACAGGGACTCCGAAGGTCGCTTAGGAAGGTAAGTATAATTTTATTACGGGGAAATGGGACAATCTGCTTCCTCTCCTTTCTTAAAAATTCTTAAACATTTATTATCTATATATGGCATATCGCTCAGGTCAGCTGACTTGGATATGTGTATTGATACAATTAAAGAATATAATCCTTGGTTTCCAGATGAAGGAACTTTGGATGTAGAAGTATGGAGGAAGGCAAGGGTTAGTATAGAAAGGGCTATGCAACAGGAGGAGAAGATTCCTTTACGTTTTTGGGCTATTTGGTCGGTTGTGTACTCTTTATTAAAAGCTATGGAAGATGAACATATTGTAGAAAATCTTCAACTAGAAATTAAGCCAGTTATTCAGGAATTGCCCCTCACAGAGGAGGAGCAGAATGTAGTTCAAAATGACGCTATCGCTTTAAGTAGTGAAAAGGCGTCCAAACTAAAAGTAAAATCCACTACAGCCGACTCAGCTTTAGCTGCCGCAGCAATATCAAATTATGACAATCGCCCAATTTTACAGGCTATACAACATTTAACACAAGAGGTGAAACAACTCTCCGTTAAGCAAAACCCGCCTACAGTTCCCTCTGCACCTCCTCCATCTAACCCTAATTGGAGTAAAGCCAAGCTAGCTTTGGCTGATCTACCAAAATTAGGGGATTCTGATGAGGAAAAGCCTGCCTTTGCTTTCCCTGTAATCAGACCTCAGCCAATAGATGGAGAGGCAGTTCCCCCTAGATGGGAAGCATTTAATATGGATGATTTAGCAAAATTAAAAAAGGCTGTAACCCTTTATGGCCCTCAGGCTCATTACACTAGAGAATTAATAACATCGGTAGCAGATCACTATGGTAATCTTGCTCCTTATGATTGGAAAGCCTTGGCCAAAATTCTTTTAAAGGAGCCAGAATATTTACAGTGGCACATGTGGTTTATGGAAGGTTGTGCGAAAAAGGCAAGACAAAAATGCTAATATAGTGATAGAAATGTTTTAGAAGATATTTTAAAAACTTTACCTCAATATTTTTCTCCGTTTGGACTTGTAATAGCACAGGATAAAATTCAAAAGGAAGAAGTTAGTCATTATTTGGGATATATTCTTACTAGACAAAAGGTGATTCCACAAAAAATGTCTATTAGGAGAGATAAGTTATCCACTTTAAATGATTTTCAAAAATTATTAGGGGATATTAATTGGCTTCGTCCCACACTAGGTATTCCTACCCATGCATTACAGCATTTGTTTGCTACTCTACAGGGCTCTTCAGATCCATCCAGCCCTCGTTCTTTAACAACAAAAGCCGAGCAAGAATTACAGTTTGTAGAACAACGAATTAAGGATGCATTTTTAATTAGGATTGATCCTAAATTGCCTCTAACTTTATATATTATTAATACTTTTCAATATCCCTCTGCAGTTTTAGGTCAAAATGCTATGCCAGTAGAATGGGTATTCACTAAAACTAAGCAATCTAAAAATGTTATGCCTTATATTGACATGGTTGCAGCTTTAATTATAAATGGTAGAGCTCGTTCTATAACTTTGATAGGAGAAGATATAAACAATATAGTTATCCCTTTAACTAAGGAACAATGGGAATATTTGTTGTCAATTACTGAAACCTTACAAATTGCTTTAGCAGATTTCATGGGAACTTTTTCATATCATTTTCCTAAAAGTAAATTATGAGATTTTTTTAGACGTCAACAATTTGTGGTTAATACCTTATTAGCTGTACAGCCAATTCCACAAGCTTTGACTATATTTACAGATGGATCTAAAAATAAAGCTGCATATTGGACTCAAAAATCTTACTGGGTACGTCAGACAAATTTTAACTCTATACAACAAAATAAACTTTTTGCTATATTACAAGTGTTTTTAGATTTTCATAACCAACCTATTAATATTATAGCCGATTCGGCCTATTCTGTTAGAGTAGTGACAAATATCTATTCAGCTGTGTTATATTCTAATAAGCCTGCTTTATTGTCTTTATTTCAAAATTTACAAATACATGTTCAAAAAAGAAATCATTCTTATTTTATTACTCATTTACGTTCTCATTCTCAGTTACCCAGACCATTAGTATCAGGTAACAATACAGTGGATTCCTTAGTTATGTTCACCACACCCGTTGAAAAACATCAATTTAATCATGCAAATGCAGGACATTTGCATCTTAAATATAAGATACCTTTTACAAAAGCTAAACAGATTGTAAAAGCCTGCCCTATTTGTAGACCATTACATTTAAGAATTATTCCCGCAGGTGTCAACCCTCGAGGAACTCAACCTAATAAATTATGGCAAATGGATATTACACATGTACCTTCTTTTGGTCGGCTTTCTTATGTACATGTAGTTATTGATACCTATTCTTCATTTCTATGGGCTACTGCTCAACAGGGAGAATCCACTAAAAATGTTATTGTACATTTATTGGAGACTTTTACAGTTATGGGAATTCCTTCTAAAATCAAAACAGATAATGGACCTGCTTATACTAGCAAAACATTTAAACAATTTTGTGATCTCCATAATATTATTCATATTACAGGGATTGAATATAACCCCCAGGGTCAAGCTATTGTTAAAAGAGCACATGGCACTCTTAAGTTGCAAATTAAAAAATTAAAAAGGAGGAGTCAGGAGGATATTCAGATACCAATACTGTTTAAATTGCAAAACAGTCCAAAAACATTACTGCATCAAGCATTGTTTATTTTAAATTTTCTCAATTTACCACAAGGTGAAATATTAACAAGAGCTAAAAAACATTTTGAACAGCAACAACAGCCTTTTGTGATTAATGAACCTATTTGGACTAAAACAGCTCCAGAGGCTGAATGGGAGAGGGGCACATTGCTCTATAGGGGGAAAGGTTTTGGTTATATCTCCACAGAAAATAGAATTCAGCAGTGGGTCCCTGGACGTTGGATCAGGACCCGCGTCTCCAGATCCTGTTCACCAGCCCCGGAGACAACTCCCCAAGGAACCGGAACCGTGCCTTCAGAAGCGAGCGCAAAACCAGCTAGAAGCTGAGGATGCTGAGTTTGTTCCTATCGCAGCCATGGCCAGATTACAGCTAAGAAAATCCCGCCGCTCACAGCGACCAAATTTAAATCCCCTCCCTACATGGGGACAATTAAAGAAATTGACCATAGAAGGGCAACGGCTTGTCCTTCAAGCAGGAAAGCCTTTAAACCCTAAAAACTTGTTTTTAGCTTTATGTGCCTTGCTCACTGTTGCGTCGGGGACTGAGGTACCTCCACATTCGTACTGGGCATATATTCCAAACCCCCCTTTATTAAAACCTGTAAAATGGGAAACTAGTGATATTTTACTTTATACCACACCTAGAGAAATTTTGTCAGCACCGTGGGCTGATTTAACCCCCCACAATCAAGATGATGGGACACTATTCAATTTTACTTATTATGGTAATCAAAGGCCTATTTGCATTGGGGAACCGCCTTGCATCCCTCTGGGATGGCAGTATTGGATTCAACATAGAATAAAAGCAGGCAACAAAAGGACAAGGCTTCAAGCCTTGGCTGCTCAAACCTTTAATGTTACCTAGAAAAATTTAACAGCACCTGATACAAATACATTTCCTGTATGCCCTAAATTCACTTATAAAAATATTTCTTATAATCCCATAATTTGACAACTATATATGGGAAAATTTGCTAAAAATATTGATGGGTATATTATTTGGGGACCATTTGGAAAATTCGTTAATAGATGTGCTAAATAGAATGAGACAAGATGTAATCTCTCTGTTGTGTATAGTCTTCCAGATCCAAAAAAAATAACTGACGGAGCTCCTATATTTCAACAAAAGACGGCTCTCTTGTGGTGGGGAGATGGTGGAATCGCTAACCCTGCTGTTGCAGCCGAAGAATACCCTCATCACCTTCAAAATCATATTTGGAAGATCCCAGCCGCTATACAACCTGTAACCTTGTACAATGTTTCATATTCAGGGACTAGTCGATCTGTATCTACTACTTATAATTTTACTAGGTTTAAAATGTATAATATTACTGTTTGTGCACCTCTACCTTATGTCTTTTTAGTGGGAACTTTTAATTTTACACATTTTTCTTGTACTTGTTTAAATTGTCAATTGTTTACATGCTTAAATAGCACACTAAATTTCACTAAGCCTTATACAGTTATGCTGTTACAACAAAAAACTCATATTTGGTTGCCTATAAATTTAACTCGACCTTGGTCTCAAGACCCGGTAATTTCTGTTACTACTGAATTTTTTAAACATCTGTTAAAACGTACAAAAAGATTTATTAGAATAGTGGTTGCTGTACTGTTAAGTCTGATAACTGTAGCCTCCCTAGCAGCAGTCTCAGAAATAGCTTTACAAACCTCTTTGCAAGAAAAACATGTTATAAAATTATGGCATAAAAATTCTCATAAACTTTGGTTAACTCAGTGGCAAATAAACGCCAGACTACAACAACAAATAGACCTCCTTAAACAAACAGTTAAATAGATGGGTAGAAAAATATTGGCTCTTCAGCATCAAGTGTTTTTAAAATGTGATTAAAATTCAACTACTTTCTGTATAACCCAACGACCTTATAATCAAACAAAACATAAATGGGAAATGATTAAAATGTATCTAAATGAAAACACCTCTGCCCAGGAGAAAATAAAATCTTTGCATAATCAAATTGACAAGGATTTTGCAAAGCAAAATGATGATAAATCCCTAGCACAATTCGCGCAATTGCTTGCTCAATCTTTAAAAGGATTAGATTCCAAAGGAATCTGGCAGAGCATTACCCACACTTTTAGTGACATGGGACTTAGTTTAATTATAGTTCTCATTGCCATAGTTCTTGTGTATTTTTACTGCATAAGACGAAATGCTATTAATAACCTGATCTTATGAAAATTGTTGTTAAAAAATAAAAAGAAAGAAAGTGTGGGGGATGAGGTGTCACTTTGTAGGCCCAACCCCCTCTAACCTGCAATTTACAATAGCCGCCCTGGTATGCGAGAAGGAGGTAGAACGGGAATGCCTGTTCTCAGTGAGCCCTCACCCTCTGGAATCCATACTGTGAGCTGGCTTTGTTTTGCAGAAGTCTTGAGGAAGTGGCTGGCCACCCTTTGTGACACTAACAACAGACAAATTAACAACATTCTTGAGCTAATGAATTTCTTCCTGGGCTAGAGAAGTTGTGAGAACTGGTTGTGATTATTTACTTCACTTAGATAGTTTTAGAATAAACATTGTAGTCTGTCACGTTGTAGCTTGCCACAAAGAATGCCTTTTCACTACTTAATTATCTGGGCTCTGTGAATTGATCGGGTTTACTATATATAAATCCTAAAATAAAGATTGTGCATACAGTGCAGTACAGTGCAGTATAACGCGGTGCAGACAGCAAAGGTGTCTCTCCTGTCTTTCTTTTCCAAGCGCTATACCCCCCGTGTCCCGACAAGGCGTGCGTGTTTACCTTGCCCAGAGTTCAGAGTGCTCTAGACACTCACGACAATTCAATATGCCAATAATGAAGGACAACATATTGCTTTAGAATCTGGGATAATGCGCAGTGTCTCAAGCAAGCTTAAAAAAATAAAGAGCAAAAATAGAGGGCAATGGATCTGCAGAGCACAGGCACGGAAGAGCACCCTGGGAAGAGTCTTATGGAGGAAATGAAGAGGCTGGAAAGAAGGAAGTTGGAGAGGTGTGTTTTAAACTGGATCAGTGGTGATAGCAATGACATTGTTTTAGTTTTCTATTTAGATGTGGGCAGGGGGTTCCTCTGGATCCTTCTATGGTAAGAGCCCTTAGGGAACCAGCATGGAGATCCTGCCAGTTACTAAGCATGTTTCCTCACACTGTACAACTACTACACATTCTGAGGCAGGAGGTCACAGACTCTGAGGTCTCACAGAACCCCCTTGTTAGATGAATTCATGACTCTCCCATAATCTCTGCAGCCCCTACCTGAAAATGGTTCAGAGGGCCTTTTGGGTCTGTATGGGTTGTTACAATAATCTCAGTACCTAACAGCCCTCAAAACAGCTATTTCTCTTTCCCCAGCCCCCACGGGCACTGATAAACGGTCCCTTTTCCCTTCAACCTTGGGTCAAGTTACAAATCCTCTCCTCCAGGAGTTCTGCATCTGGTAGCTGGACAAGAGACCATGAATTCTCCTTATGAAGATGCAAGTTGGATGGCAGAGCTAGAATTTTCCTGCTTGTATGTAAAAAGAAGTGACTTAGTAAGCTAACTCAGCAAGCTGTCCCATTCAGCTCACTTCTGGGGATCTGGTGCTCAGTTAGCCACTGCCAGAAATACACGCGCATAAAACGCTGATTCTCTCACGGCTCCCAGGTCTTACTAAGGAAATTACATTTACCTTGTCTGTGCTGCTCCCACTGAAACTAGGGAGACCATTTCCTCCGCAGCAGCATCACCACCATCTCAGCCATCAGAGGAGTCACTGCAGAGCTCTTTGGGCCCCAGTTTCCCTCTTAACAATGCATTTTTCCTGCCTTGGTGAAACGCTCTTCATGTGCTGCAGGGTAGACAGTTGGTAATGGTTAAAAAGGCTGCGAGTCATAGCTCTATTCCAGCATTCCCACTTCTCTGAGCCTCCTAGATCCTTCCTCTCCTGGAGCCTTGCTGCCCAAAGTATGAGTTCACACACTAGCAGCGTCTTGGTGTCACCCAGGAACACGGGAGAAGGTTGTGCTCAGACTCCGACCCAGAGCTGCCAAATCAGACTCTGCACTTTAGCAAGACCCCCAAGTGACTTTAAGCACAGTAATGTTTGCTTCACAGCTGTGGTTCCCAAACTTTAAAGTACATTATATTGATTTTAAAAGCACAGAGTCCTGAGTCTCATCGCCAGAGTCTGAAGTTAGTAAAAGGGTGCAGTTTGAGAATTTACATTTCTGACATGTTCCGAGGTGACAACCATGCTGATAATCCAGAGACCTCTCTGTAAAAATCACTCTTCCATCCTATGCCAGAGAAGTTACAGAATTTTAATCCAAATACCACAGGTCATCATCGACTCCTGAATCTGATTAGCCATTCTAACAAATTAAAAACACAATTCCCTGGTATTTGCACTAATCAGGGTTGACAAGGGGAAAAGTTTAATACAGACACATAATTTATAGGATTATTTTATAATATAATATATTATTTTATAATAAAAAAATCAAATGCAGAAGAGTGCGGGAAACCTGTCCAAGGACCCAAAGAATCCAGCTGAGGTCCTGGATTCCATGGCAAAGTCCTGCATGAGTCCAGCAGAAGATCCAGAGCCCACAGCAGTGTCCTCCACAAATCCAGCTGGAGGTCTAGAGCCCACTACTACAATGTCTCATGTAAGTCTGTTTCATAGATCTGTGCTGAGAAGCCCAAAGGTCAGTGGTGAAAGCTAGAAAATCTGCACCAGAGAAATGAAGGATCTGTGCCAGCAGGCTGTAAGATCTGCACTGGAGCCAGGAAGTGATGCTCAAAGTAAGGACCAGAGCTCACCCCCAAACTTTTCAACCATCTTCAGCAACAGTGAGGACCCACCTCCTCCGATGAGAACAGCCAAGTTCGTACCAGGAAAGCCAGCACGACAGACTTCTCCAGGAGAATCAACAGCACACTCTCTTCCCCTCCAACTTCTCTTTCTATGCTGCTGGCAACATTCCTCAGGTGTGTCCTCACACCCGGCACCATGTACAAACTGACCATTGTTAATCCACCACGCCCTGAACCCTTGATGATGGACCATGTCCATTAACTCAGCCTATGGAGTCTTTTGTATCATCCTGCATGGTTTATACTTTTACATTTCTCCCCTACATGTGCTTTTCTGACTTACATTTGTCATATTCTTATAAGTCTTTCAGTGTAGGCTGTTTTATTCTGAAGCAGGTCTTATATATTTCCTTTTCTGGATTGTGTTGGAAGCTAAGTCTTGTTACAAGGTGGGAGACAGAAGAGAGGGGATGGGTCTGGAGAACACACATCAGATCTTACAGTAACTGCTCCAGTTATAGCCACTGAGAAACTATTGTGCAGAAAGAGGACTCGGGGTAAGTTAGTTCCCAGCCTCCACTTGTGCCACTGGTACCTTTCATCAAGGTCAAAAGCCTTTGTCCCAGCGACTCTGCAAGTGTTGCAGTGAGGCTAGGTCTCGGTTAATAGTAAGAACTGTAGGTTGTTAAGGTCTCTCAAGGTTGCCATGGATACAGGACTCTGACAAGTGTTCTTCAGTATGTATTCATAGCTTTAAGTTTGTTTGGTTTTTATTCTTTTTTTTTTTTGTACCAGGGACCAAACTCAGGACCTCACACTTGCCAGGCAGGTGCTTATTCTGCTGAGCTAAACCTCCAGTCCTGTTTGTTTTTTGAGACAGGGTCTTACTATGTAATTCAGGCTGGCTTTGAACTCACTATGTAGCCCAGACTGGCCTTGAACTTATAGTGATCCTCCTGCTTCAGCCTCCTGGGTGCTGGGATTAGAAGCGTGTGCCACCAACCCAACCACATTATTTTAAAATTTTATTTAAAGAAAGACTAAATGGGACTGGGAATTTAGCTCAGCAGCATAAGCACTTGCCTTGCAAGCAGGTGGTCATGAGTTCAATCCCGGGTACTGATAAAAAAAAAAAAAAAAAAAGAAGAAGAAAGACTAAATGAAACAGAAAATGGGTAGAAATAATACATACTTTCAAAGAAAAAAATAAACAGTAAGAAATCACTAGTTGATGATTACAGATTGTCCTCTTACAAATAGCTATTCAAGATACTAAAGTGGAGCATATAAAGTGGGGATTCAAACAGTAAGACTGTAACCAGCTCTGTTCAACTATCCAACAAAAATTTAGAAATATGGTTATCAATCCTATACACTTAAACATACATGCAGTTATCCATATCTTCAATTATGTTGTGATTGAATAAACCCAAGCAGGCTAATATCACTCTGAACAAAGAATAATACTATTGGTGGGTTTCACATTATGACCATCCAGGATCAGCACTGGGTACTTTTTCTTCAAAATATCTCTTTTTTTCTTCAAAATATCTGTTCATTTCATCATGTGTCATAAGATCAGTTCTCATAAACTGTTTATAGATTCTACACATGTATGAGTCTTAACATCTATTTCTATCCTTCTATATTGGAGGGAGAAACAAAACAAAGCAAAACAAAACAAAACAAAACATATTCCTATAAACACATGAAATGAAAAAAATATATAAGACCGTTGTACAAAGAGTTCTACCATGGTTCCTGTGTGGTCTCTCGTTATCTCCAATAGAATTGGCTATATCATCAGACATAATATAATTGAATATATCAGTACATAACAGTACTAATAAAAACACAACTTTGTATATAGTATAAACTTCAAAAACCAGCAGTTATCAAACCAGAATGTGTATCGTAGAGTCTTGTCATCTTCAGTGTAGTTGCCTATACTCTCGGACTTGATACTATCAATCATATCAGTTTTGAATAAAATCTTCTCTGCCTCATTTTGTTATGCTCCTTTTTTTTGCCATCAGTTGTCTGCTTATCTTCTTCATTCTGTTTTCTGCTCCATTCATTGAGGCCTCTCTACCACTGTTCCTGGAATCCTAGTACTTTTCTCTCTCTCTAGATCTGCAGTATTCTCTGTAGAGTTGGATAGGTGGTTGAAAATTTCCCAACTTCCTGTTCCTCTTGGAAGCATCTTGTTTCTCCATTAATTTCTAGAGACAGTTTATCAGGGTATATCAATCTGGGCTGGAGGTTATTTTCTTTCAGAGCTTGGAATATTTCTCTCCAGGCTCTTCTTGACTTGATGGTTTGTGTCGAGAAGGCTGCCGTTATTCTGATGGACCTTCCTTTGTAGGTTATGTTTCTTTTCTCTAACAACTTTTAATATTCTGTTCTTATGTTGAATTTCTGGGATCTTGATTATTCTATGCCTGTGTGTAACTCTGTTTTTGTTGTAGGTGGCTGGAGTTCTGTATGCCTCATACATCTGAATATCATTTCCTTTTCCTATGTTTGGGAAGTTTTCCTTAATTATTTCTGTGTATAACCTTTGTAGTTCCATTGTTTGTATCCTAGCTTCTTCATTCACATTCTTTATTCTCAAGTTATAGATCCTCTTGTTATCTTCTAGCCTTTGTATTGTTACTGCTTGTTTCCTTGTTGTTTTTAAAAAGTTTTCCCTCTCATAATTCCACATTGCAAAACTGTCCTCCAATTTGGATAGTCTATCCTTAGTTTCTTTTAAGCTGATTTGCTATCTTTCCATCAAGTTTTTAATTTCCTGGTGATCTCTTTGAATCTGCTTCATGTATTCTATTTTTTTTTATATGCTTCTTCAAATGGTTCTCTCTTGTGTTCGAGTTCCTCCCTTC